ACAAGACCAACTAAAAGTAATCTTTGTCCCATGCCAAGATATTCTGCCCAGGAGCCTTCTGTGTGAGTCCTGGGGATTACAACCTCAACTGTGCCATTTGCCAGCAGGGCATCCCAAATTACCAAATCTCCTCTCCTCCTCTTGTCAGGGGAACCTCCTGGTGTGGGAGCATCACTCCTATGGCAAAGGCCCATGGGAGTTGCCAGGGACCTGCCTGGCTGGAAGTGAGTAGCCACAAGGTAAGAAAGATGAAAAATTGCACTTACCTTTTTGAGGAGGTTCATGGCCAAGGGCGATGCTTTTAACAAGGTCAGAGGCATACTTGAGCTTCCAAATTGCTGTTTCTTTCCGTCTGACAGCCAAGGAAAAATAAGAATGAAAGGAATGTAGCATAAAATAGCAAAAATTGTAATATAGCTTTGCACAACTGTCTTGTTTATTCTTTCTCTCTGCTTTGGTGTTGCATGAAGTCCATCCCCGAAGAATTTATACCCCAAGTAACTTACTTAAACTTATTCTGCTTCTCTGCATCTGGGACTGTTTCTCGACTGACTGAAGAGCTGGGCCGACAAAGATGTTGAGAACAAAGGGCACAACTCCTGTCCCAGCTCCATTTTATTATGGCTCAGCCTCTTTTATTGGATTAGCTTTTTTTTTCCTTTTTCCTAAAATTCATGATACAAAAGGAAGCACATTCTGCCTTGAAAAAGCTACAGCACCGTGGGTATGTGGCAGCCCATGCTGTGTATGAGGAAGGGCAAACTCAACATCAGCTCTGATTTAATAAGAGCAGATCTTGCTTTGCAGCAACAACAAAGGGGAATTATTTGGAAATCAGGGAGCACTCCTGCTAATCAACCCTGCTCCAGTGTTTTGCACAGCCTTTTATGACACATTGCAACAACCCAATAACATAAGAAACAGATGCCCAGAGAAATTTCAGCACCTTCCCCTATTTCCAGAAGAGCACAAGGCTGCCTGGAGAACAGACCTGAGGAGTGCTGCCTCCTGCCACAAAGATCCACAGCCCTGTGGTATGGCAAGAGGTGGATAAGGGCAGGTTTTTCAGGGGATCAGACACAGCAGGGAGCAAAGCCTGCTAAAAGGGTCCTGTGGGAAGCTGCTGCTTTGTATGGACATGTTAACCAGAGCACACTGCTAAGCCCACTTACATATCTGGCAGCATCTTTGGTATGAGCTCCACCGTGAACCTGGCAGAGGCCTGTGAGATCTCCACAGGGATGTTCTCCATAGACATATAGTGGATGTAAAAGTTCATAGTCTTCTGACTAGTCCTGTCTGACTTCTCGTCTTCACTGAATTCCTCAGTGACCCCGTGAGCCACCCAGGTGTAGGTATCAGGATCAAGCATAAGTTTGCTCTCTGACTTGCCCTTGTCAAGCAAAGTCAGGTTCTGGAGGCCATGGCTAAGGCATTCCTCATCATTTTGGAGGCTCCCAAGCTTCAGCCCACCTAAGCGAATGCACAGGTAACAGTGGTTGAAGTCCACTTCGATGGAGCAGTCCTCCAACCATTGTTTGTTCAGCATGAAGCTCCCCTGCAGCTGTCCTTTGCTTGTCCTTTGCTTTGCCCAGTTTATTTTAACATCATGAAGGACAATCGAGTCGTTCTCAGCCACGGCACATGACGCAGACTCCATGGCACTCATTGGCATCCACACCTTGTCGTACTCCGTTGTGTGCTTGTACCTGTCCTTGGACTGCAGCGTGGCGTAGGCAGAGAAGCACTCAATGGGCTTCTCTGTGTGCTGCAGACAGACATCAAAACCTGGTGTCACACACCACAGCTGCACAAAGGGCACCAGGAAGCCCCGGGAGACATCGGTGGTGAGCTGGAACCTCAGTGCATCGCCGGCACTCAGCTCCAGGGACAGCTCCATGTAGTGTGAGCACAGGCTCTTCCGCACCCAGCCCATGTGCCGCTGGTACAGATCCTTGCTTTGCCGCAGCAGGGAGGCAGCAGTCTCAAACTCCTCGTTCCTGATGGCTGCGAGCACGTCTTGCCACGTCTGGGTGTGGAAGAGGGTGACACTGAGGTCACGGAGAGGTCCTTCTCGCAGGCTGTGCTCCTTCGTCTCCACAGAGTACATCCTCCTCTTCCACGTCAGCCTGATGCTGTTCCGCTGCTGGATGAACACAGGCTGTTCTATCAGTTGAAGGGACCTGTAGCTAATTATCTGTGGATCTGGAAGGCTCTCTTTGTTCAGGGGAAACAGGGCTTTAAAAAACCTGCTCATCTCTTCGATATCCACCACGAAGGCAATCTTCTGCAGGACTTGGGCTTTTAGCTGGGTGGCCATCTCTAGGCAGTGGGCTCTCTTCTCATACATCATCGCCTGGGAATTCTTCCTGTTGAAGTCATGACAGAGAAAGTCAATGTCGTCTGCAGAATAGATGAGAGGCTTCTTGCGGAGCACGGAATGAAGGTGCCTCTGGACCACGACATCCACGTATCGGCGGATGGGAGAGGAAGCCCAGGTGTAGGAGTCAACATGCAGGGAGTAATGACCAGCCTTTGACTGGACAGTGGAGTTGGAGCGACTGAAATAGGAGCGGCTGAGAAGTCTCCTGAACTCCAGGGCCACAGGAGCCAGCTTTGGGTGGATGTCATCCGTGACGATGAGGTCTAGCATCTTTTGGAAGTCACGGGCTTTAGCAGCTGACTGCAGGTGCTCCCAGATGGGGGCCAGGAGACTGAACTCCACATTTTTAGGGGATTCTTGGCCAGGAGGAATCTCTCCCAGGTGGTGCAAGAGATGGATGGACAAAGGAACAATGTGGCTGTACTTATTTTTCATATGTGACAGCTGTGCAAGACTTGGCTCACACTGGCACCGGAGAGGAGTGACACTTCTGGTCATCTCCTGGTTGGTGAGAAACTCAGCCACAAAACTGTTGAACATGATCATTAGCTCCTCTATCATCTGATGGGACCCCCTGTTACCCGGGGAACTTTCCTCGTCCAGCCGGTCATAGAAACAGTCCTCCTGCAGCCGAAACTTCCGATGGATCCTGGAGAAGTGATAAGCCACAGCTATGCAGTCCTCCAGGGTTTCGAAACGAAGGGCCCTTGCTGCTCCCCTGTAGCGTTCCTTAATGCACAGCTCTGCCTCTTCATAGGACAGCTGCCTGTCTGAGCGGATCATGGAGATGGTGAAGATTCCTTTTAACATCTGATCCGTCTCCTTTTCTACCGTGACAAAGAAGGAGATCACCCGTCGATCTTTCTGTGGCAGGAGGCTGCAGAAGTCTTGGCTAATACGTGGTGGGAACATGCACAGAGGTTCCTGCTTGGGAGCATAGTAGGTGACACCTCGCTTCTTTGCTTCCAGGTCCAAGGCACTGCCTTTGGGAATGACACCAGCCACATCTGCAATGTGGATCCCAATCTCATAGTGACGTCCAAGATCCCTAACGCTGATAGCGTCGTCCAAATCCCTGGCACCTTGTGGGTCCACAGTGAAGGTCAGGTAACTCCGACAGTCCTTCAGAGTTTCCTTGGTGGAGTTTAGTTTGCTGCTGGAGGTGTATCTGGCTGACTCCTTGATGACAGCAGCTGGGTATTTATTCTCCAAACCATACTCCAAGGAGAGGATCTTTAAGCCTTCTTCCAAAGTCAACGCTGCATGCATGATTTCTGTTATTATCCCCAAAGGGTAGTAAAACCCTTCCCGCCAGGAGATAACCTGGACGCAGAAGAGTTGGGACCTCCTTGTCTCCTGGCTGATCTTCTCACAGCTGACCACTCTATACTTCCCATTGACAAGCCTGCGGATGGGAATGACATTGGGTTTCTCCTTCAGCCCTGGGACAAATATTTTGGTGACAGTTGGATCGATGGGGGTCATCACCCTGGGATCAAATTCATCCATCATGCAGATGAAGGTCCGTTCTCTCTCGGCACGCTTTAGGATTCCCACCACCTTCCCCTGCGGGCGGTGGCTGCCGCTGTCACCTGAGCTGCTCTGCAGGATTTCTACCAGCACCTCATCCCCAGTGAAGGCTGTCCCACAGTGAACTCTGCCTTTGATCTGAATGTTCATGGCAGGGGAGTCGTTGAGGGTGAAGGCAGAAGCTCTGTCGAACCCCTCTTTGATCAGCTCACATCTCTTGTACATTTTGGGGTGCATATGCAGATACTGCTGCATCATCTGAGAGGAGAAGCTGACGTATTCTCGCTTGTCCTCGCACAGGTTTGAAGCCTCAGACCTCACATTCAGAAGCCCTTCTTCAGACACTGTCACCATCATGTTCTTGCTCTCATCTAAGAGCTCCTGGAGGATGGGATCGTCAGGATTCATGCTCTCACCCTCAGAGCTGAAGGAATCTGTGTCACTGTCCTCCTCATCCGCCTCTGGGCTCCTCCTGCTCCAGCTCTCCTTGTCACAGGCAGCCTGTTTGATCTGGGCCATCGTCAGGTTCTCTGGGAAGACACTCCCCTTGTCGATGCACTGCTGGATGAAACGTTTCCACACCTTGCTGCACTGGCCATGGGAGCACAAGGCCATGGCATCCCCCACTGCAACCACCAGTGACTGAGCCCGGGTCATGATGGTGTTGAGCACTCTGGCCTCGTTGAAGAACTCGAGGTTGTGGGAGGCTGAGATGCGCAGGCTCTCACTGGTGTGCACTGTGCTGATGATGATGACCCGAAACTCCCGCCCTGCACCAGAGGGGACAAGGGAAAAGTCACTCACAGGAACCCAACAGGGAAGACCTTGCCTGGCTGTGACCCATCTATGCTGTGTTACATGACCATGGACTGATGTAACCTCACTTGGCAGAAACACGGGAGATGTGAATAATGCAGCTTTTGGGGATCGTGAGACCCTCTGGGCATGAACCAGGGTGGACACCACGAGGTACCACCACCCACACACCAGGGAGGAAAGGGCAGTGTGGAGATGGGATAAAGGCAGGGCACTGGAGCAGCACAGCCATGAGTGCCCATGGAGCATCCCTGCACACCCAGTGCCACCAGCAGCCCCACCAGCTGTTCCGTGCAAACCCAGGTAGAGTTTGCTGTGAATCCCAGATTTCCCATGGAACTGAGGGTATTGCAGAAACAACAGCCGTAACCATTCACAAGGACCCCTCTCCCCTCAAGAAGAGCTCTGCTGATGACAGAGCAAGTAACAACCAGCAAGAGGCACCCTGGTGATATCAGAGCTGGGAAGAGACTGGAAAGAAAGGGTGTGGAGATGAGAAACACCCCCTGGGGTCAGTTATTCTCACCATGAGGAGTCCCAGCTGCACAATAAAAAAATAATAAAAACATGGATGAGTCATAAACTAAGTCCTTGAGAACAAAACCAGCCCTATCCCTCTCTCATCATCCAGAGCAGCAGGCTCCTCCTCTAGTGAGCTGTTCTGTGATTGGTACCCACAGGCCATCCTGGTTTCAATTCCCTTCTATCACTCACCCCCTCCGCTGGTACTTGGGGCCTCACATGATTCACACATGCCCAAGTCCCTGGGATGGCACTTAGAGGGTTTTCACCCTCCTACAAAGCAACACCCATATATTTGAAATGAGGTGACAGTTGGGTGCAGATTTAATTCAGTGTGAAATCTTATTCACCAAGGAAAAGATGAAATCAAAGAATTACCAACCAGAAGGGGATGAAAATCAGTCAGAGGATTTCCAGACACTCCCTCCTAATTGGTGTTGTGTGGGCTGTGGCAGTGGAGGAGACACGGGGAGGGCAGCCTGACAGCACTCCCAGAGAGGTGTTTTTCCATGATAACAGCCAATATTTTGCATTTTAGCAAGGAGGAAAATGTAAATATGTTGGAAACTCCTCTGATAAAGTCCCAGTGTCTCTTCCCCCTGCTCATTATAGTTGCTATGGACTCTCCTGTCCACCAACATGACTGCACAAGCTGTGCATGACTAGCACACAGAAGACCCCAGAACACAGCCAGGCACGAGCCACTGTTACACAAGACACAAACCTGGCAAGTTTTCATAGTTTTCCACCACCACATCTTGTAGCTGCTTTTTCCTCAGCTCTTGTCTTGTTGCAGAAACCTGGTAAGAAAGAAAGAGGCACAACTGAATTCAGCTCAGAAACTCCCCACACCCAATGCCAAGGTCCCTTGCCCTGCCCAGCTGCAGGTTCCCCAAGTTACTCAACAGCAGCCACATGTCCTGGGCTGACTTCAGCCAGGGCTCCTGCTGCTAGATGCTGCAAGGAGTGTTCAACTAAACCATCCCATCACAAAACGTCTCTGCTCCAACCACCCAGGACATGCTACCTCAAAAAACCACTGATGGCATGCAAGCCTCAGGTTCCCTGTTTTTACTAGCACAAGAGACAGGTTTATAATAAACAGATTAAAAAGCATTTATTAGGGAGTGTTTAGTTAGCAGTGCAGGCATAGCCTCCTCAGGTGGGGAACATGAGGTTCTCCTACACACCTGCATCCCGTGGGAGACCACACAGATCCTCTTCAGATCCCGGGTGCCCCACTCATCTGGCCACCTCTGATAGATCTCCTTCACTTTCTCAATCACTTGTGTTATCTCAGAGGCATTGTGCCAAGAAATCATGGAAATATCCCTTTCAGCCACACCGCGCACGTGGCAGAACACAAGTGGGTAGATTTCAGGATGGGGTGGGATGTTCCCACTGGCTTGGATAGCATTGCCATTGCCAATGTAGAAGTGCTTGGAGACAAACTCAATTATGCCTGCAGTGGAACGGTAATTCTCATTGAAGATGATCCTGCTCTTCATGGCCACTTCATGCCTCTCCCTTTGGTAGAACTGAAAGAGTCGGTTCAAGAGGGTGTGTTCAGCAGATTGCCCACTCCCAACACAGAACAGCTTTGGGGTTATCTGCATGTGGTCCCCAGCAAGGACAATCCGAGTCTTAAAAGTGGCATAGGAGAGTGGAACCAAAGCTTCACACTCCAACATCTGTGCAGCCTCGTCGATCATGATGTGGGTGAAGTAGCCTGGGGGAACCTTCAGGTTCTTGGATAACATGGAGGTGGTAATAATGATGTGGTGCTTGTCGATCTCTGCCTTCGTGGGGTGGCGGAAGGAGCGCTGGTCCGGAGAGAGGCAGCAGTACATCTGGGTGATGGGATCCGTCAGGCTGACGGATCGGTCGGTGGATATGATCCTCAGGGGAACAGCCCATGGATGCCCATTGATCACGTAGTTGTGGAAATACTCCCGGATGTAGATGTCAGCAGCACTGGAGAGGAACAAAAGGGAAAAGCATCAAGAAATTGTAGGTGCTGTTCCTAAATTCTGTGACCCAAAGCGCTCTCAGATCATTCCCCAACACACCGCCAAACCCTCCCCTGGCTCTGGGGGCACCACACCAGTCACAGCAGATATTCACATTCACACAAAGAAGTCAGCACTGAAGCAGCCACCAATTCCCAGCCTCTTTCAAGAGTATGGTTTAAAAGAGGAATTGGTATTCAGGTCTAGGGCATCTCTCAATGCTCATATGGAAAATGATATGCCCAAAAAAACCTGTGGTCCTGCTGCTGTCCAGAGCCAAGTGACACAGAGCTCTCCTCTTACAGCTAAGCATCCCCAGCCCTGGGTGAGCCAAGATCTCCAGGAGAAGCTTCCGTGCAAGCAGACAGCCTGGAACAGGCTAAGATTAGCAGTCACCATCTATTATGCATTAAAAACTGAGGCAGTAGCAGCCTGCAGGATCGGATGTGGACACTCGTTTCAGCATCACTGCTCTAATTTTAACAGTCTTGGCCTGGTTTCTCTGAAGGCACATTCAATGGCAGCCAGACCAGATCTGTATTTCCTCTTCCCCAAACCTTCCCTGTCAGTAAATTGGCACATGCACAGAGCACAATAGTCTTCAAGGGCATGTAGAGCATAATATTATCCCAGCATGGTCAGGCAACAGCTTTCTACTTCTCCCAGTACACAGTAAAGTTCTGTCTCATTCCCATTTCATAATGAGGCAGGAGTGTGTGAAGTGTCCAAGGCCAGGTTGGACAGAGCTTGGAGCAACTTGGTCTAGTGGAATGTGTCCCTGCCCGTGCCAGAGGATTGGAATGAGGTGAGCTGTAAGGTCCCTTCCAACCCAAACCATTCTAGGATTCTGTGATTATATGCTACCTCTTCCACAAAGACTTCCAACCATGCCAGGCTTTTTCCTAGCAAAGCAGCTTAAGACATATTCAATAAAAACTAATTTATTTACACAAGCAATTGAAGTACATACTAAGAAAAGGGCAGCTCAGCTCTGGCTCATACCCCTTGACTCCCATCATCCCCCCAGGTGATCAATGGACCAACTCGCTTGCAACTCTGGTTGCCTCTTCCCTGCTAACCTGTTTGTGTGAGTGCAGATCAGCACCCGTGTGTCAGGCTGCCTGAGGATCTCCAAGGTGGCCATGGCCAAGGTGAACGTCTTCCCTGTGCCGAAGGGCCCATAGATGAGCAGAGGTGGGACCTGCCGGCTGGTGGTTGGCTGGCCCGTGATGAAGGAGATGGCTTGTTTCTGCTTGCTATTCCCTCTCTGTGGTGAACCAAGAGAGTAGGGGATGGAGCAACTGGCAACATCTGGCAGGACCAACTTCTCATCCAACAGGTGATCCACAGCCTGGTGCCACTGCCGGAACAGCAGCTGGTCGATTTGGAACTGGATCTCCACCTTGTGGGAGGTGTTAGACTTGAAGTTCAGCTCCGAGCAGCATCTATTTGGTATCTGTAGCCAGATGGTCTTCTCTGTGGTGGCTTTATGCTCCACAATAACCTCATAAACCCGATTGTCTACAGGTGGGTCAAGTGCCAGGAAAGCAGTGGGCACAGACCTGCTCAGCAGGTACCCCTCATCTGTGTCCGGCGAGAGGTTGTAAGGAGTAGGCACTTCAGCAAACAGCTCACCAGAGACAGCAAACTTCATCCCCATGGAGAGGCTCTGCAGCATGGGGGTCAGTGAGATGAGGACACGCAGGTTGAGTCTGAAAGGAGGAAACACCCAAATGAAGAGCAGAGAATGGACCTGTCAGTTCATGGGTCCTCCCCAGAGGAGGGAGATTGCCACCTACACCCAGAGAGGGTCTGCCAGCCCCCAGACCACACAGAGATAAAAACTGTGCTTCTAGCTAACCCACTGCCAAAGGAAGAGACTCAGCTCTTTCCTTCCTACCACCACCCAGCAAGCTGTCCTTCTTGGCTGGTTTCCATTTCTCTGGGAAGGCACCCCAGGAAGCAACACAGAAGGGACAGAGACCTCTGGACCAGCATGGCCCCAAGGGTTAGCAGTGGGCTCATGGTCCCCAGCAAGGAGGAACCCTCTGGATCCACACCTGGCACTTACTTGGCAATCAGGGCCTGCTCAGCTTCTTCCTCACGGAAGAGGAAGCTGTGCATCCTCTCCCGATAGTTGAGCCGGGTGATGGGAACGACTGCACCACCCTCACTTTGGTAATCCAGTGCAAGAGCAGGAGGTTTGTACTTTGCCAGCAGATCCACATCTTCACCAGTCCTTGGCACGCTGGGCACGATGACTCGGTTACCTCTATCCCACCGCACGAAGTTCACGGGGCGGCTGCTCTCCCTGCTGCTGGGGACCTGCTGGGGGGTGTCCCGTCGACCCACCTTCACCTTGATCTTCTGCATGAGGACGGGGCGTTTGCCGAAGTCGAAGACCACCCACTGCTCAAAGACACCCAGCGTGCAGCATTCCATGCTGATCTCCACCAGCGCAGTGCCGGGTGAGGAGGACAGGGTGGGCACGTGCTCCCCACGAAGGTACTGGAGGCCCCGGGACAGCCCATTCCCCGAGAGGTAGAAGCTGACTCCAGGCTCCCGCTTCAGCAGGGCCACGTGCTGCAGAGGCATCTGCCATGGAGGAGAAGACAGGGACATGGTGAGGGCAGCCCATGGGAAGAGCCCAGCAGTTGCTGAGATGCTCCACCAGCATTTCCTAGAGAAAGCTGCTGCAAGAACCAAACACCATGTCAAACCCACTGGAGCTCACTTCTCATGCAACACCACAGAAATTATTTGAAGGTCTCAGAGAACCTCAAGTTTCAGTTTAATAACAATGGAGTCAGTCTGCTGTAAACAGGAAATCTGTGCTGGAGAGGACAATTCAACACAGGCTCTTGCCCCCAACAAACATGAAATTATGGGCAGGAAAGCCGCTGAATGTTGTTATTTGTGATGATACATGAGAGGTGTTGAGAGCAGCCAGGTCTGCCCCAGAGCCACTGTACAAGATGGGAGACAGAGTAGCTGCATCCCTCATGAATACCAGACATACATCCTCATTTAGACATCCCCAAATCACTGTCCTTCTGCCCCTTGCAGAAGTAGCAATTGAAAAAACCCAAACCAAACAAAACCCTCCAAAGGACAAGGACTGCAACCAGGAGCAGGTGCTGCCAGTGACACATTGCCTCCCCCCACGCAGAGCTGGGCTTGCACTTACCTGAGTGTGGATCCTGAATCTCCACTGGTATTTCATCTTCCTGTCCTCCAGCTGCACATTCAGGGGCTGCTCACACACGACTCGGACGCCCTCAACATGCTCAGCCATCTGTGGGGAGGCACAAGAGGAGCAGAACTGAAGGCAGCGTCCCAGGGACACACCACAGAGCCCTCCATGGGGCTCTTTGCCTTTATCTTTGCCTTTATGCTGTGGCTCCCAGGAGAGTCTGTCATCCTCATGCCCTGTCCTCACCCACCACTGCTCTGTGCCCCCATGCAGCAGCCTTGGGAAGTGAGAGGACCCACAGCACAGCTCAGGTACTCCGAGCAGGCTCTCAAGTTGTCATCTCAAAAAGGGTGGAGGAAGGGAGACTCCACATCCCTTTCTGCATCCCCATGAGGAAGGTGAGCAGTGGGCTCCATTCCCAAGCTCTGATACCAGAGGATTCCCATGATGCTCAGACCAACTCGCTCCCACCCTGTGCCCTCCACTCACAATTAACACCTCGTTGGAACACGTCTGATACTCCGCAATGAGACGGTCCTGGTAGGACAAGAGCCCATCCTTCAGGGCCTGCTTCTTTTTCTTCGCAGCAACCTTCACTCTCTGGATCCACTCCTGCAGCTCCTCTTTGGAATGAGCCTTGGTGCAGCTCTTGCCCATTTCACACACCTCCGCTCTGTCGGGAGAGAGGTGTCCCAGGTGCCACCCATGCCCGGTGGCATGGGGATCCTCAGGGAGCTGGCAGCTGCCTGCTTCCCCTGCCCTCTTCCCTGGTGGATGCCTTACCTGCTGCACAGCGAGAACTTGGTCAGCCCAAGCGGCGGCGCACGGTGCACCCACTGCACAGAGCTGTCAGCCGAGAGCATCTGCGCGTGCTCAATGGAGGAGCAGTGGTTCTCGAAGCTCTCCTGTGAGTCGAAGGTCACCACGCAGATCCGGCAGTAGAAGTGCACTGGCACAGGTGCTGCTGGCTCATTGTTGGTGCTGCGGGTGCCCACGGGTGGCAGCAGGTCGGAGCGCAGCAAGCCGTGCTCCCTCTCAGCCTTCCACACGGCCATCTCCACGTCACTGTGAGCGTACTGGCAGCGCTGCGGTCTGTGCTTGCAGGGCTGGCCCCGGGACACGTACCAGCAGTAGCTGAGGGTCGAGATGAACTCGGGGCAGGGTCGGATGGCAGTGTACTGCTGCTTCTTCCGCGTGTCCAACACCACGTGCACCAGGAGCGGGTCCCAGCTGCGGTGGGACTCACAGAGCTGCCCTCGGCCACCCACCGAGATGCGCTGGGGGCAGCCAAAGAAGCAATGCCTGCAGATCTCCTGGAAGTGCCCCCCGAACTCGCTCAGGATGTCGCTGGCAGCGCTGTCCGTGGGGTGGGCAGTGTGGCCAGTGTCGGTGGGGCGACCCCCCAGCTGTGCCTGCAGCACCGCTGCCTTCAGCTGGCGTCGCTCCAGCTGGTGCTCCCTCTCGAAGTTCCAGACCGTGGCCTCCTCTGGGCTCCAGGCGAAGGTGCACTGGTTCTTGTGCCTGCTGCAGCCCAGCCCCATCACGTAGTACCTGCAGACGGCATAGTGCGCCGGGTTGGGGAAGCCAGGCCGGCGGGACACCTTCCTCCAAGCCGTGCTGCGGCGGGCGGGGCGCGGGGGCCCGCGGCCGCGGGCCAGCAGGATCTCATACATGCACTTGTGCTCCACCTCCCGCGGGTGGTAGGTGATCTCGTTCTCCTTCACGCTGCACTTGGAGCAGACCAGGAGCAGCTCCAGCTGCTGCTGGAGGCTGCCCAGCGGCACCCGCGGCATCTTCGGCGGTGGCTTGAGCGGAGCAAAATTAACAGCGGGAGGTTCCTACAAGGCGATGCCGGAGGGGAGGAGGTGCCATGGAGCGAGTGTCCGTGTCCTAGCTCGCTACATACC